ATTACATATATTTATATATAATATAAATTATATGAACATAAATAAATACATGTAAATATTTTGAAAATATATACTGTATGTGTGTATTTATATATACATAATAAATATACACAGTACACTGTAAACAAAATAAACAAAAACTTTTATTTTGCATGCGATTAATCACGATTAATCGTTTGACAGCACTATATATATATATACATACATACAAACATATGTATACATATTTTCATATAGAAGGTGCACAGTGTCATTCACACAAACACTAAACACCATCATGGTGACACACATGAAACTGTAATATACATTTAGTCATTTAGCAGACGCTTTTATCCAAAGCAACTTATATGACTTATAAATATGCAATAAACATTAATTTAACAACATTAGATGAAACATAGAACCCTAATAAACATAATTAAGAAACTACAAAAACTAAGAAGAGACATCCAATTTGAAATGCAACGCAGGGAATTCTGGGAACATCAATTTATGTTTTTTTTTACTGTAAATAATACATTCTTTGTCCACTCTGGGAAACCCTCTACAAGTCTGTGGCCAATGATCTCGAACCTTTGAGCACGCCGGTGGTGAGCACATTCACACCCACCTGCAGCAACTACCTGTCCGTATTTACCTTCGCCTGCCCAGAGCTGGACTCCCTGGCCGAGGGACTGGAGGGCTGCAAGGGTGGCGTGACCAAAGCAGAAACTAGCGTCGACATCCTCAACTCTCCCACCCTTCTTGCCTTATAAATGCAAGCGTAGATGATGTAATGTCACAACGACGTTGTTCTTAATATCTATTGGATATCGCGGTGTTATGATGTCCAGGTGTGTGATGTTGGTGTGAAGCCAGCTGTTCGATGGCTGCATCCGTGTAATGTGTGCGGGACGGGTGTTTACTTTCTTCCAGAGACATTTGATGTAGCCCAAATACAAGAGCATGGATAATTATCTTATGAGCAGATATGAACTATGTTCTGGTTTGAAAAGCATGCATGAGACAACTATATATAGATATATATACAGTGGTGGCCAAAATGTCTAGAACACTAGTATTTTCACCAGCTAAAAAATGGTTTTAAGTCTATCCTTTGCTGTAGTGTGTCAGAAGGAAATATCAGTTTACATTTCCAAACATTAATTTTGCTTGGTCTGCAGATTTTTCCTGAGCTTTTGTCTGGTTATAGGAGAATGTGTTATTCATAATACTAAATAATTGTGTCTTTATTTAGAAATACTGCACAATACTGTATATTATTTTAAAAGAGAAAATTGCAATACATTTTATCACGTCTGGCAACTTGACAAACAATATTATTGGGGGAAATATGCAAGTTAAATTTACATTTAATGATCTATAAGCATTTCACAGATTTCTTGTGATTATATAAAACTATTGTCAGAGCACCACAGCGAACAAATGAACCGGTTCTGTGCATTTATATGTCACATGTTCAGTTATTCAGTAACTAATGGAGACTAGACAAAGATCAGACTTTCAAGATTTCTTATCCATCACCTCTAGTGGATAACATGAGTCTCACATCATTTGTCAGATGAAATGGCTGATAGTTTAGAATTTACTGTCAGCACCCTGAGCATCGGCCATTCATGAAACTAAGCATGTTTCCTTCTGCATGTTCTCCATACGTACTAAGTTTTGAGAGATTTGGATTTTGTGCACAGAAGATTCCATTCAGATTTGACATCATTAAGTACTGAAATATGATTGGCTGGCTATTTTTTTTTTTTACACAGCCAAGTCATACAGGAGATGTTATGACGTCCACCAAAGAAGATGCAATCCAATTTCCAACTAACCCGATCATAAGGTTACTGCATTATTAAGGATTTTCTGTTGTAGGCGCAATATTGGCATTACTTGCCATGCATCCTCAGAATGTCATGTGGTCTGTATGTATCACGTTTTGTTAAGTTTGGGCATTGCATTGCACATGCCAGAAATTAATGTATTAATTTGCTTATATCTTCACAACATTTGGACAAATCAAAATCCTTTAGATTACTTCTTGCCAGGACCATCCCTGACTTTGGCGAAGCTCGAAAGCGAGAGGTTACAGTAAGCAGTGAAAAATAAAAACATATATACATTTTTCCCCTTCACATCTGTTACAATCATTTTTTACCACTGCAGTTTAAACAAACTATGCATTTCACATATTTTAACAGGGCATCTTGCTTTATTAATCTTCATTAGAAATGTCTTAAATAAGCAATGTGCATCTAATGTGTGTCAGTGTCCTACTCACTCAAAATGTGGTATGTATCATCTTGAGATACTCCTGACAAAGACAAGGGTCATTTAATAATTTAACAGACATGGGCCATTGAGCCAATATGTTTTGGGCTGCAGCCCATAATAACTAAATGTCCCTTTTCTTGTAAACACAGTGTCCAAATATCACAAAACATGGTATACATAGACAAGACATTCTTAGAAAACAGCCAAAATATAATGTATATCTGATTGTTAGAGGGGATTGCAGAGATTTCTAAATCACTGTTTATATCCGTGTGATTGACCGAGGAAGGCTGTGATACTAATATTGTCAGAGCCACAGGATAAGACCTTTTCATACTGTCATGTTCAAGTGCTTTCTGGAACAATGTTAAACTGTTGTGTATTATGCATGTATGCCATTTTTATGCACGAGTAATAACAGATTAGCTTGTATAAGCTGTCAAAATATTTTTTTAGTTTTCATGAGCACTGTTAATGACACACAAATAGTAATATGAATTTCATATTCAGCATGTCAAACTTCATTAAAAAAAAAAACGTACTTAAAAAAGTTTTTTCAAAACTTTTATAAAAAAAAATAAAAAATTTTTAAATCATGGTGTGTTAAATTCTTGGTCCGCAGATTTTTCCTGAGCTTTTGTCTGGTTATAGGAGAATGTGTTATTCATAATACTAAATAATTGTGTCTTTATTAAGAAATACTGCACTATACTGTATATTATTTTAAAAGAGACAAATAAAATTGCAATATATTTTATCACGTCTGGCAACTTGACAAACAGGTTTACAAAACATGGTATACATAGACAAGACATTCTTAGAAAACAGCCAAAATATAATGTATATCTGATTGTTAGAGGGGATTGCAGAGATTTCTAAATCACTGTTTATATCCGTGTGATTGACCGAGGAAGGCTGTGATACTAATATTGTCAGAGCCACAGGATAAGACCTTTTCTCATTAGTGTGATTTTCTAGGTCTCATAATTTGGCATCAGTGCATGTGGTTCAATAGCTTTACAGACAATAAAGAATGCAATGGAATTCATTTCTACAACAATGGTGCACTTACGGTATCTCCTGAGTTTAATGCATGTGGTAGTTTGCAAAGAAATCTGTGATCTCCAACATGCTTATATAGATCATTAAACAGTACCTTAATTTTATATCCTAACTTAGTAACTGGTTTAAATGTTGTATTTATAATTGTGTGTGTGTGTGTGTGTGTGTGTTTGATTATCACATAGAACTACTCACGTGTGTTTAGGTTTATAGCAGGCATTTAACAACAGTAACAACCACAAATGTCATGGTGTGTGTAATAAATCTTCACTCGACTGCTGATGTTGAGAAGCACTCAATAGAGTGCGAGTGACTCTTCACACTTCACGTTATACATGTACATCCAACAAAGCATCAAAAAGTACCACGGTACCATTAGGATAGGAACCAGAGTACCATGTAAATGTCATGGTACAAGCATTCTAACATTATGCTGCCGGTACTAAACAAAATCTTCCTTCATGACATGATTGCAGCTTCTGAAAAAACCCTAAAAATCAAACATGTCAAACTCCTTGGGTTTTTGATCTGCTCCTCTGGAAGCTTCCTCACTTCTCGTTCTTCATGGTGCAGTTAAGCAAATTGAGATATCCTTAAAGATGTCTGACCTCTGCTGATTTCCAGCTCAAGAGCTGGAGGACGGAGAAGTGAGGAAATGAGAAAGCATCGGTTTGAGTATTGAGAAGCACACTGTGTCAGGTTTTGTTAAGTCTGGACACTGCATTGAGCAAGCAGAGGTTATCTTTTCAAAATGGGCAACACTTTGATAAATCAAAATTATTTTGATAACTTTTTGTCATGAGGGTCTTGGGCTGAAGTTTCATGCCAATCAAACCAATGGCTAAAGTTTTTTAAAAAGCAAGTAAACAATAATCTAATAGACAGATATTTATAGCCTATATATTTAATCAACTATCTGTCTCTGCGTATAGCATCAGTTTATGGAGATCAACTATGGATTAAATATATATAAATGCCCACAAATGTTAGATTTGGTATAGATTTGGTCTGTGCAATTTCAGATCCATAAAAATGTTTTGGTGTTATTCAGTGATTTTGTATTCACCGCCATTACTTTGCCCCACTTATGACCAGTGTTGGGGGTAACGCATTACAAGTAACGCGAGTCCGTAATTAGTTATTTTTTATGGAGTAACGCAATATTGTAATGCATTACTTTTAAAAGTAACTTTCCCCAACACTGCTTATGACCATAAATATGGCAGATGAGTGAAAAAAAGCCAAGTGACTGAAGATAAATTGATTGCCCATTACTCTGTTTTTGGACATCATATACCAAGGTAGTGCCATGGTATTTTATGAAGTACTTTAGAGAAACCAATGTAAGCTCTATGATATGGTATAGGGCGTCGCTAGACTCATTTTACAATGAAATACCGCTGTACCCCAGTAATTAGGCTCCTGATAAATGCTTGTCTGATGGTGGAGAGATTACCATATACTGAACTGAGAAAATTGAAAAAATCAGCTGTTTAGCCTGTTATATAAACGGGTTCATTCAGACAGTTCACTGAATCGTTTGCGGCGGTTTCTCAAACTTTAACGGGATCCTTTATAAAAAGTCTGAAAGTGAAAGGAACACTGGATGAGCAAACAAGGTTAAACAGTGTTGGGGGTAACGCATTACAAGTAATGCAAGTTATGTAATCAGATTACTTTTTTAAAGTAACTAGTAAAGTAACGCATTACTTTTTAATGTAGAGTTACTCTTTCAAATTACTCAAGTTACTTTGTTTCCCATGTTTTGACTGGCAGCTCTCATGTTGCCATGTTGAGAGAAATCGTGAGTAAGCACAAAAACAGATTTAGGCTACGTTTACACGACAACGATGTAGTCAAAAACGGAAAAGTTTTTTCCCTTGCGTTTTTAAAAAGTTTCACGTATATAAAAAGTTTTGTTGATATTGGGAGTGTATACAAACAATACTTATGTCATTTTTCAGTCAATATTAAATTAATGAAAGAACTACGAGTTTCTCTTTGTAGTGTATTTTTTTAGGATTGATCACTTGAAAAGTAAAGTCAACTTGAAAGTAACCTGAAAGTAAAGTAATTAGTAATCTGATTACTTTTTAAATGCAGTAATCAGTAATGTAATCAAATTACAATTTTAAAGACATAATTAGTAATTTGTAGTGGATTGCTTTTTTGAGTAACTTACCCAACACTGCTCAAAATGAATAAAAACAGTCAAACTCAGAATATTATACAAACCTGCAAAAATAAAATGTGTTAAATAAGACAAATATCCTTTATGTACTTAATCCCATTTTGTTAATCAATTTCTTTGCTACTGACCTTCGATGATCCAATTCAACCATACTAAGCAAAAATGCCACATTTCTCTTTCATTTTAGTTATTGCTGAATAGTGTTGAACTTTCTTCTCCTGCGTCATATTCTTCATACAATTTGTTTACTGTACAGACGTGAATTTACATTTCCTTCAGCCTGAGGCGTATTCATTTCACGTTTGTTGTTGTGAAAGGGCTTTTACTTTTGTAAAATAACTTTTTTACATTAAAAACAAATAAGCAAGCCCTGCCCAGATTTAAAAAGTAACCCAAAAGTAACGTAACTCATTACTTTCCATAAAAAGTAACTAAGTACCGTAATTAGTTACTTTTTTACGGAGTAACGCAATATTGTGATGCATTACTTTTAAAAGTAACTTTCCCCAACCACATTAGCAAATCTGTCAGCGATAAGCAACTCTTCATTGCGCATGCATCTGCGGGTAAATAGGCTACAATTGATATCAATGCAATATGCATGCATCCATAATAACGGTATCAAAATAAGGGGAGAGTTTTTGAAGCGGTACCGATGAACGAGCGCTCCTGGCACACAGCACAGTACTGTTGAGGGAACTTCAGCTTGGCAGCCGAGAGCATGTAAAGCGCTGACGGTGAACGGAATGTTTGTTTTCTGGTTTCTAAGGGGTGGAGCGAGTCTGCTCCTCGCTTCTCCACTTCTCCATGTGTGTTTTCCCTGCAGTTCATTTCTCATCCTCCCTGCTGACGTCTGACTTCCGCATTCCTCGCTCTTCCCGATCAGGGATCAGCGCTCGAGACCCGAGCTGATGCAACGATCCCCGCTCTTCAAGATCTACTCGCGACCTCCGGCTGACGTCACAAAGGGATTCCACTCGCTCACCTCGAGACCAAAGTCAGGTAAGAGCGCAACTTTGGCAACTTTTGCACGGCTTCGAGTCCGGCCGCTGCGTTTCTCCATGGCCGCGTCTCAAAGCGCGGAGAGCCGCCTGGGCAGAGCGCGTTTTTGCGCATCTCCGGCGCGCAGCAGCATTTTCGGGCATCGTGAGAGGCTTCGCGCCTGAGATGCGCTAAAATGCTGTGTGTGTAGGGCACTCGCTAGGTTTTGAGACACGGCCCGAGTGTGTGCATGCACAAAATGGTACATTGCAAAATAAGTAAGGTGGGTATTTCATATTTCAACAACAGCAGTGTGTTCTATTGCTGCATCTGCATACCGCAAGTGCAACTTAAATAGCTCTTTATTTCCAGATTTGAACGCATTTCACTCGGCCGTGTCCATCTCTAGTTGTAGCCTACATAGGGAATGTTCACTTCCTAATATAGCGCGTTGATGATGATGATGATGATGATGGGACAGAAAGACTCGACACCGCTGTAAGCTGAAGTTCATGTTACATAAGAGAAACTTCCGCTTTGAGATCATTGAGTCACTGTAGGGCGTGGTGCATATGCACATTCATATTTTGATTATCTTTACATTATTGTTTCACATTATTTGTCCGCTGTCACCGTGCATGTAAAGGCTCGTGAGATGCTTGTGTGGTAATGGCGCGTGAATAGGCTACTAACTGTGCACACAAACTTTTTCAAATTCAAATATATCCAATATAAGAGGTTCAAATATACAGTAAGTAACAAAAGTGCGAGACCACTAGTGAAATGCTTTAGTTTGCTGGGAAAAATTAAATAAAAATAGACAATGATAATAATAATAAAAATAAAGTTTGAGTGAAATGTTACATTTGAATTTGAGAATGTGTCAGTTCAGTATTTATTGTGTGTATGGTTTGCTTTAATGTTTTAAAACAAAAGATGCAGCACTAGAACTGACATGAAGCTTTGTGTATATTTTAATATCTGTGGTCTCTATTTGCATTTGATATCAATTAAAGGGCCTGGGGTGATGCTTTCTCCTTGAGTGCACTGAGCATGTCCAGTGCCGTTGGGTATTGAATGTGATATTGGTGTCTTTGCCTCAATCTATCTAAAACTTCAGCGCTGCAAACGTTTTCAACAAAGTTAAATGAACTGCTGTGCTCTTTGTAGATAAACAATGCGCAGCAAGCATTTTCAGTTGTTCAGAAAAGGGTTTCAGTTCCACTCACAAAGAAGTGGGCGATAAAATCTGGAAGCAATGTGTGAAACTGCTTCTCATTGCATAACAGCGCTATTATAACTGCATGCATAATGCAACGAAATGACACTGACCTTTCCGGCGCTGACGAATGTAGGAATGTTGCTTATGACACACAGCTGTACACACAGCACAACTCCACACAGATACATGTCACTGTAAACAGACTGGACACAAACTCTCACTCATCAGCAGATGCTTTTGGGATTTCAGAACCGGTTTTGGGGAGACATTTTCAGAATCTGCGATTAAATGTGTTAAATAGAGCTAAAAGCATACAATAATGTTGCATTCAAATTCATTAGTTTTAGTCTTGTTAAAATTGGAGAATACGTCATTTTGGCCAAATCCAATTGTAAATCTTTGACTGATGTTAAAACGTTACTACCGTATTTTTTACGGTAAAATTCCGGCAACCACAGCTGCCGTTTTTTTACCGTAAATTTTACGGAATTTTTTTACAGTGTACTGTAGAAACTGGTAGCATTACTGTTTGTCCATCGCTTCTGCTTGTGTTATTCTCATTTGGTGTAGTGTAGTGGAGAGCGTGTCGTGTTATAACAGAAGCATCCTGCAGTGCAACACGCCATGCTTAATTAAACTAATGTATACTAAATTAATTTAAGCAACAGAATCAAGCATCTGAAATTTTTTTTTTTTTTTTTTTTTATGTGGGTATATTTAAGTGTTTTCAGATTTGTTTAAAGCACATACATATTTCATATTTAAGAACACACACCATATCATATATATTTAAACATATTTAAAAAACAATTTAATCTTCATTTGATGATGCTAAAAGGTTTGCTTAGTGTCCGTTTTGAAGCTCTGATGTAGGATGAAATTGCAGTCACTTTAATAATTAGAAACAGTGGAAAAATTACTCCGATTTTATGTCTCAGAAAAGCTTCCATTGTGCTTTACCTTGTAGGACTTCATGAATGACTGATTTGATGCTGTACAGCGGCAGAAGTAGCACTACACACATTATGCACTTGAGAGATTCGACTTTCAATTGATTCCAGTAAGAAGTTAGTATGTTGTTATGCTAACAATATGATACTCCGGTAAGCATGTAAATGCACAGCACACACATATACAGGCTTTAAATTACACTGGACCATTTTAGCAACACTTGTTACAACTACTGAACCTCTTATGAAACTCCTATTAACTCTTTTATGTATAGTTTCAAAAGCTGAACATAATTTCTCTCTTTCTCCGGGTGTGTTGTGGGGAATTTAACACATGAACATAGATTGATTATTGTATTCATTTTGCTTGTTGACCATATTATATTTGGACAAACAGCATGATCAAATCACATCTGTGGCTTACGCCGTATTTCTCCCTGGACCTTTGCAGAACTGCTGTTCACAATAATGGGGCGATCGATCAATTAGAGCGACACATTATCTGTGATAATGGAGCAAAGTATTAATATAAGATGAGTTAACGGTGGCAGCGGAGAGAGCGCTCTCAGGCTCTGGATCACGGCACTCTATAGGACTTTCCAGTGCAAACCTAATGTGTGTGTGTATAGACAGAAAGGCAGCACACCTCATACACCTTCTGAAAGCCCAACAGGCTCATGAAACACTCTTGATCACACGATCCTGATTAATATATGGCAGAAATAAAGACTGAAGGGGAGTTTGAGTTAGTTGTTCAGTTTGTATGGAATATAAGCTGACTACATACTGAATACTGCTCAGTGTGCACTCTGTACAGATTACTATATTTTAATTGCTGCAGCATGCTGCAAACAGTACTATGGTACGATGATGTCTCATATTTAGCGGTTTGATCATTGGTTACACTTTTTAGTGTAAACACTTTTTAGTTTAAACATAGCACTATACATTAAATAATGAAGATAACAGGTCAGTTAAACACAACGAATATGTAATTGTCACACTCTTGTGTGTAAGAAGACAAGCGCACGACGAAGATGAAGGAATATAAACATGTATTTATTATTATCCACACGAAGGCAAATAAGGAAAAGCAGGAACTGGAAGGAACTATAACAGAAATGGACTAAACTAAAAGTTCATAACTGTGACAGTAATATAGTGCCTCTCAGATTTATTTTTTTCCTAGCTGACTAATGATTTTGCAGTCATTGAATGTCTTTCCTGAGGTAAATGTAACATTACATGACATTGTTTAATTACAAGTTGATTTACTGACATTTTTCTGCGGTTGAAACACTGATTGATTGATCGATTACATGAGACATGATTCATTTCAGTAAGCTGTTCGGTTTCTTTAAACTCCTTCTGAACTGAGGCACTACAGCGATCGTTACGCCACAGTAAAGAGTGTCAAAACCACATTTATTGTTTGTATTTCATCATAAGATTGACAGCATATGAGAGTATGTTTTATAACAAACGTAACAAAGCACAAAGCTTGTTGTGATTATTGGATGACAGGTGTGCTACAGATAATGTTTAGTCACACTGTAAAAAAAAATCCGTAAAATTTACGGTAAAAAAACGGCAGCTGTGGTTGCCGTAATTTTACCGTAAAAAATACGGTAGCAACGTTTTAGGTTTTACGGTTTTAACTTACATTTACAGTTAAATACCGTAATTTCATTAACTGATATAATGTTAATATACCAACCTTATTGAAGTACCGAAATCTGTTTTGTACCTTTGTAATACACTGATAACCACCAAATGCAGATGGTGATGAGAAAGTCACATGATGAACCAAAGCCCATCACAAGCAGCTTTTAAATAATAAAATATATAGAAGGTGCACAGTGTCATTCACACAAACACCAAACACCATCATGGTAACACACATGAAACTGAAATAATGCAATAAACATTAATTTAACAACATTAGGTGTAACACACAACCCTAACACACAAAACTGATAAGAAAAAACTAAGAAGAAACATAGTTATTTCAACAAAAAAACATCAAATTTGAAATGTCTTTTTCACTTCCAAAAACGGTATACTACCGTAAAATTAATGTCCAATACATGTAATGTTCAATACAGTTTTTCACTGTATATAGTAGGGGAGTTTACAGTTAACCATTTAACAGGTTTTTACTGTAGCATTTTTACTGTCTTTTACCGTTAAATTCACTGTCATTTTTTACAGTGCACATTAACTGAAAACAGCACAAACTAAAAGATTAAAAACCAGAAATCTATAAAGTAAATGCAACAATAGCATCCACACATCTGACATGTTCACCTGTTATATATAGTTTACCTACGTGGTGGGAACAAAATACACACTGACGGTGTCAAAACAAGCCATTGATTAAGTGCTGCACCGTTTCAACTGAAACTAAAAAAATACATTTCCAGCCGTATATTATTGGTTGCTGTAATTTGGTGCATCATAAGCTCTCTAGATTTGACTCGGTCCTTTCTTGAATGGAACAGTTTCACTCATTTTATCATCCGCCTGGCAGAAGTTAAAAGTAAAGCACACTACACCTCAACAAGCTGCATAATTGAAGAAATGATGCATGACGAGCGACGTGCCTGTGTTAGTAGCCTGCTTGGGGTTAGGGATTTGTTTAAATGACTAACTCTCGGTATGAGCAATGATAGCTTGCCTTAACAAAGACTAATTAAACTTCCTCTGAGTCAGAAGTGTTGTGTGTGTCTTGCAGCGGTTCACATATGGCAGTGATTTCTTGTGTCATCGTGAGGCCGTTTCTTCAAGAAGAGCATTCGTGTAGTTGGCAGTGTTGGGAAGTAACTGTTACATGTAACTAAATTACTTCATTTACTGAGAATAAATGTGTAGTTAAATTACAGTTACTTCTGAAAATGTTAACGATTACAAAGGGGGTTACATCTGATTTTATTCACACACAGACAGATTTGATTGATTTCTTTCATAAATTGCAGTGACTGCTCTAAAATAGAAGAGACACCAATGTTTCAGGAGTTTAGGACACAGATGATTATTCGATAACTGTTTTATTTCCTATTTGGGTTTATGTATATACTTTTTTTTTTCCAAGAGATTGTTAGATGCCAGTGTTTCCCGTCATTGCTATGCAAAGATTTGATTTCAAAAACAATATCATAGCTACCAAACTATTTCTTGTTATGGTTTTAAAATCTGCATTTAGCCTCAGAATGATCTCAACATAAGGAGAGCTGCTAAAGTCTGATTTTCAGGTGGCTGTGCTTTAAAATTAAATGATTATAATCTTAATTCAAGTGGTGAAGGATTGTGAAAGTCTGAGAGTAATCAGTGTTGAGCGCTACTGTAAGGTTAAACCTGCCTGCTTTAAATGTTTGAAAGGAAATTGAAAACATTATAGAAATTTAGAAAAATAATCGAAAAGTAATCGAATGTAATCAGTTACATTACTTTGATAAAGTAATTGAAATAGTTACACTACTTGTTACATTTTAGATAGCTAAAACTTGTAACTGGTAACAGTTACAGGTAAAACTGTAATTTGTAATCTGTAACCTATTACATTTCCAAAGTAACCTTCCCAACACTGGTAGTTGGTCACTCTCTGTAGTTCATCAGGATGCGTGAGAATGCTCTCTCAAAGCTACAGAATGCACACTGCGTCTGAAAGGTTTTGATTTGAGGAGGACTCATGTAGGCCGATGACATTGTCCTGTTCCTCTGCGGCCACATTCCTCTCGGCTGACACACAGCACAGATTGGACGGAGGAAACTTTGGTAGCGGGCGGATCTTGACTGACGCGATCAGTACTTCTCTCCATGGCTTAAAGGAGAATGTGTCTGGGTCTAGTTTTGTGCCTCTCATAAAAAAAGGGGAAAAGAGCAGCTTCTCTTGCCAAGGGTCTGTAAGTGGATATCTTACTGTATGGGCAGTGCATGGGCACAATGGACATGTGTGTTATATACAGCATTACTGTTGGTTAATTAAAAAAATATATGTTTTTGGTTAATTCTTTATTATTGTCTGATAAAGTCTACATAATGGATTCCAGTGACAGGTGCGTATTTGAAGTCGTTAAATGCATTTAGAGACTTTGTATCACTTTTGGATTCCTTTTGAAGGTGATGCGTGTCAGTTTTTTTGTAATAAAATACTTGTATTCCAGCTTAATTTCACTGTAAGGAAGTCTTCTGGTAGTTTGGCTTTCTGAAGAGTGTAATACTTGCTGACAACAAAGTGTATCAATGAACAATAAGCGGTGTCTCTCAGGAATTAGATCGCAAATTATCTTGACGGTGTTTTTACAGAATTTCATTGCCACTAACTAGCGCCGCACAGCTTGGTAATCTTGGTAATAGACACAACTAATCCAAATAAAATGTACTTACACAAATGTGGCCAATTTTTTAATTAAATGACCCAGTGTGCTGTGTGTGATGATTTCAGGACACATATTTGAAAAGTAATGTGGAGAAGCTGGTAATGTTTATCATTCATTTGCGTAGGATAAAGAGTTTGACCTATACATTTTTGATGTATGTTTGACACAGTATATTTCTGTATGTAATTATTCAGGATTTAAATCAGAAATTATTAAAAGGGAGATTATTAGCAGAAATACAATATGATCCTCTAATACTATATAGATAAAATTCATAATTCATAAATCTGTATTCCAAATAAACGAGTTTGTAAACAAACTTATTCTGATCATTCTTGTCCATCAGCTGATCTGATGTTTGCTGCTGTGAGATGAACATAACTCTCATTTTCAGTAAATAGGAAAAATTGTCTCTATGACAGATTGCTCTTGTTCTCCTATTGTAAGTTGCTTTGGATAAAAGTGTCAGCTAAATACATAAATGTAAATGTAATGTAAATTCAAACTTGTTTGAATGAACTGATTCAAATCTCTGATTCATTTGCATCATCATTCAGAAATGCAGTGGCCTATTTGTTATTCAAATATGTTAGTATGCTGATAAATATTAGAGGTCGACCGATAGTGGATTTTACCGATACTGATAGCTAGGTTGGACCACACTGGCCGATACCGATTAATTAACCGATACTGGAAGCTAAAAATAGTGCTTTACTATAAAAAAAAAAAAACTGTACTGAACCATGCTTGATGTATTGATCATTAAAGTTAGGTCATAGTTTAACTAATGTTAAAAAAAAAAAAAAACTTCGTAATTTAAAAATGTATTAGTAATAGTAAATGTTCAAATTAACACACTCTAACTAGAAATAGCTACTTATACAGCTTCCATTAATCTTAAAACACCGGACGCGTTGCGTTCAGTTCAAGCGGTGGTTTAAAACAGTTGATTTAATCACCAAACGGGCAAAAGTTTACTTCAAGAATGAACAAAGCCGCATAGACGAGTTTGAAGTTCGGTGTTAAAAACAAAGCAAAAAAAAACAAAACAGAGCAAACAGAAAGAAAAAGCACAATCTAAATTATAGCTCTCTATACGAAGCATACTTTATTAGAGCCACAGAAAGACAAACATTTCACTGAAAAATGCACAATATAACATTTTACAGCCTAGGGTGCAATCGGTCGACCTCTAGTAAATATTGCTGTTTAACGTATTTTGATATAGGTTCCTATTTGTTAATTTAGTGAAAACAGTGCAGAAAATTTATTAACATCATTACACTTTATTTGCTCTGTTTTATTCTGTGAAACCTTACTACGTATATGGAATAACCGTTTTATAATAAAGCAATAAGCCCCAAGAAGCCGTGGTTTACAGTGAATTTATAACAGCTAAGGGGTGTTGTTAGCTTCTTGGGGCTTATTGCTTTAATAATTTACATTTCAAAAGACAAGTTCTCTCATGATGCCTCGGCTCTTTTCTGCAGCTGTGGTCACGGGCGTTTGTGACATGATGCCGGGACAGCTACCGGACCCCTCGGTGACCGCCGGCTCGCTGCCCAGTCTGGGCCCTCTAGCGGGCATTTCTGCCACCACACTGACTGAACACATGAAATATGCTGACCTCTGCAACCTTGGGGCCATGCTGTCCCCTTTACATCTACTGGGGAAGCTGGGCAAGCGGACGCTCCCTATTAAAGCCGAGGTGAGCACCTTTCATCCTTTAGCTTGGGGAAGAAATTTAGGGGCATCTTTAGGAAAAAGCGCTGTTGTATTATCTGATTGAACTAGTGCACATCAGTATGTGAGGCCTGTTTCGTATATGCAGCATCTAAATGATTCATCTGCAGGAAACCCAAACCCGATAGCAGAGCTGTAAACTGATTTAATCATCTGGATTTAGTCAGGTTTATTAAATGTGCATTATTGTTCAGTCCATTATTTGATATTGCTTTCCAAACGTCTGCAGTACATGCACTGTAAAAAATTATTTTTCAAAGTTGTAAGATTATTAGAGTGCATTTTACAAGAAAACACTTCTTCAGTGTTTCTGCTTCAAAATTTCATGTTTAAGTGGTGCTTGCCGTTTCTTTCTGATTATTGTGAAGTTAACTAGAAATCTCTGAATGAAGTTAGGAAGTAAATCTTGCATCATGTTTTTAGTATGCACATCTGGCACAATACTGTGCATTCTTACCAAACTACAGTGACTCCATCTAGTGGATAGACAGTGACTGTTCAAACAAAAGACTGAATTAAAAAGCTGTGAATCTAAGTAAAGCACAAATGAAACATTAAAGCAAAATATAGTGTTTAGTTGGCCCAACCATATCAAGCTATTTTTACACAGTGACAGAAGAAGAAAAAAACTCCATAGAGGCCTTATTGATGATTTATAGACTTGACAGGAGATGAGATATAAAATCACAGGAAAACCTTGTTTTATAGATAAATAAAATACTTGAAATGCATGAAATACTTCAGCACCAGAACAAGCAGTGCAAATGTTTCTGTACTGTTTAGCCAATAACTTTAATATTAATTAATTTCAATTATAATTACATATTTTATATTGAATTATTTATTTTTAAGTTATGTTCCTTGCCTTTTCATTTACTTGTATTTTGACTGAGAATAGCAACAGTTTGAGGGAACAGTTAATAAAACAGTGGAGGAAGAGCATTCATGCTGACTGAACAGCTGTTACTGTTATAGGAATAATAGTTCACCCAAAATTAAAAGTTAGCTAAAAAATGGGTTCAACCTCAAGGTGTTCGAGATGTAGATGAGATTGTTCTACATCAGATTTGGAGAAATGTAGCATTGCATCAGTGTCTCAGCAATGGATGCTCTGCAGTGAATGGGTGCCGTCAGAATGAGAGTCCAAACAGCTGATAAAAACATCACAATAATCCACAAGTAATCCACAGCACTCCAGTCCATCAGTTAACATCTGGAGAAGACAAAGGAAATAAATCTTTGAAATTGCTTTTGCTAAAATAATCTGAAAATCTGGCTAAAGTCCATAATCTATAATAAGGCTTCCTGCAGTGAAAAAGTCATCTGGTCTGAATCGGGAGAGAAATCTGCACAGATCAAGCAGCGTTTACAGTCGAGCAATGGTTTGAAGTTAAAAACGTCTTAATGCTGGATTTGTTTCAGCTTTTGTCTTCTCCAGATGTTAACTGATGGACTGGAGTGCTGTGGATTGCTTGTGGATTATTGTGATGTTTTTATCAGCTGTTTGGACTCTCATTCTGACGGCACCCATTCACTGCAGAGGATCCATTGCTGAGACACTGATGCAATGCTACATTTCTCCAAATCTGATGAAGAAACAAACTCATCCTAATCTTGGATGTCCTGAGTAAATTCTCAGCAAATTTTTATTTTTAAGTGAACTATTCCTTTAATGCAGACTGATTGAATGTTATTTAACAAAGAAGTTTGTATTAAACCCCATGACTTGCATTATTATTACTCATGAAGGCTAAAATGCTGGGTTTATGTGATCAGCAAGTTCAGAGAGCACTGATTCATACAGACTAATTATTGGCTGATTAACACACTGAGTGCATTACATTTATGACTGGCTATATTTTCTACCATTTTCAAAACATTTGAATATTTTTAAGACACGTCCTACAGATTTCATTCAGCAAATGCCTATTGATATTTCAGTTAATTCTTGCATTTCACAATCTGTCGGCAAACAGGAAGCTTTTTCTCTCTTGAAATTAACAGGTTTCAAGGTCTGTCCTTTTTTCTTTGACTTATGCAACATATATAAATAAAGCGCAACCAGAAATTAATTATCATCATGGAACAAAATGCAATGTCACTTTGTGGTCAAAAAGTATTTAAGCTGTAAATAATGATCAGACTACTTAAACTTGTTTATAAGTTTACCAGCAGAGACAAATGTGCTGTTCTTGGCTCCAAAAGTTTTACTCGTATTGACTGTATTTTTATATTGAATGCAACCTTCTTTGAATTTAAAGGTGAACTGAATGTTATAACCTGGTTTCCTAAACAAATGAAGTACTTTATTGGCACATAGGAAATGTAGTGTATAAAAACCTATAGAAAGCCTTAATTGTCTTATTTTGCTGTTGCCACTCGTACAGAAAGATGAAGAGGAAGACCGGAGGAAAAGACGGCGAGAGAAAAACAAAGTGGCAGCAGCAAGATGTCGAAACAAAAAGAAAGAAAGAACAGAGTATCTACAAAGGGTAAGTCGTCTGTAAAAGCCTCAGTCAGTGTTGGGGAAAATTACTTTTAAAAGTAATGCATTACAATATTGCGTTACTTCATAAAAAAAAAAAAAGTAACTAACTGCGTTACTTTGTTTCTTTTTGTGGAAAGTAATGCATTATGTTACTTTTGCATTACTCTTTGTCACCTGAGATAGACTTTCTTGTTTATTTTCAATAACAAAAATCCCAAAAGTAATATGTCTCTGCCTCTGCACTTACTCCCGATCTCTCTCGACACGGGACAGATGTCAGCGAATAAATGGGAAAACAAAGTAACTGGCATTACGTATTTTAAAAAGTCATATAAAAAAGATATTTTCTTGTACATTTAAAAGTAATGCATTACAATATTGCGTTACTCCATAAAATAGTTACTAATTGCATTACTTTTTATAGAACTCACACCTGGGCTCCAATATTTTAATGCATTACTTTACTAGTAACTTAAATAAGTAATCTGATTACGTAACTTGCGTTACCCCCAACACTGGCCTCAGTTCTGTATCAACATATAGCACGAGTGTATTAATGTGCCTTCAACTCTTCACTGAAGGAATCTGAGCGTCTAGAGATGATGAACTCGGAGCTGAAAGCACAGATCGAGGAGCTAAAGCACGAACGACAGCAGCTCATACTGATGCTCAATCGCCATCGGCCCACCTGCATCGTGAGTACAGACAGCATCAAGACGCCTGAGAAAGAGGCCAACCCTCTGCTGGAGCAGGTGGAGGCCAAATGAGAAGGAACCACGCATTTCCATGTTACTGTTTACAGGTCAGCTCGTCTCCAGCTAGCTGAAGCACTTGGTTTGAAGCACTTGGACATTTTAGGGAAGAGAGAATGGCGTCTCTGACTTGCGAGGTTGGAGTTTAGAGACTAAACAAAGCAAAAAGAAAAACACACGGATGGCCTGTGTGTTGGCAGTTGTGAAACTTTTGTGGGATAGTTTTTTTTTTTGGTCATAAAGTGCCTTATTTGTATTAGTCCATTTAGGTGTTTGGAAAGAATTGTCTATAGGTTGTTCTGAATTGATGAAAACATGCATGTTGTGGCCTCGCCATGTTAACCGGATGATTCTTCACGGACTGTCTCAACGTTTATTCACCATTTGCTGCCTTCAGTTGCGTTTTAGTTTTTTTTCTGACGCAGGCGTCATGTATGCACATATGTATGAACTGTTTACATCTTGCCAATTTATTATAGTTATCTAGTATATAAATATATATATATGATTTTTATACTTCTTGTACATGGACTTATCACTAGATGTGATACATTTTATGCAACAATTTCATAACCTCTATTTCTGTGACTTATTCAATTTGTTGTATAGCTGTGAAAACTGCAAACAGTTATTAAACGAGTGATTTCCAAATGTTATTTTGCAATGCTCAGAATTTTTAGAGTTGGTCAACCTGTAGCCGTTTACTGTAAAAATTCTTTCAAGCTCAGTTTCATTTTCATTTCCCTTTTTCTTCTTGACTTAGGCAGAGTGAATATATCAAATAAAGCAAGGCAATCAGAAAAGGCAGCTAAAGATAGAATTAAAGGCTGCTTTGTTTACAAAAAACAACAAACAAACAGGTGCTTCAAACATTTTCTGTTTTGTAACCTCTTTTGTCTGTCATTAGCCCCATCAGCACATTCCATTAAACAGTTTTCCTACTAAATCATATCATACCTGATATTATTTATAAATATAATGTACATTAGTAGTCACTTTTTTAAAAACAGACGTATATTATGCTACATCATGCATGCATGTTTATAAAATGTGCACACGTCATAATTTTTAATATTTTGAACACATACTTGTGATTAGTTATTTTAATCATAAATAAACATAAATCATAATTTTATATGTTTCAGAATTCTAAATATCTCTTTGTAGCAGATGTACAGTGCATCAAAAAACGTCCTGGTCTAAAGCGTTTTTGGTTTGTTGTTTGGGGTCCCTGGATTATTGGCAAAACTGAAATGATTATAATATGAAGTATGATAGTAAGAAAAAAATGTCATGAAGTTCATATGCAATTTGCCCTTCAAAATAATCAAGTACAGTTAATCCATTAGTTAATATTAAATGCATATGCATAGAAATACAAGTGTGCCATTAAATGTATAATCTTGGATTTACTACATTAATGGCTAAACTGTCCATAAATGCCTATTAGAGCAGTGTCCTATATAAGAAATCACTAATGACTCTGGTATGTCCACACCATTTTTTTTTTCTAGTCATATTTTACAGCTGTATTCATCCCTCTGCAATCTTTTTCTTCCTCCTTATGTAAAAGTATGGTTTCTCTTCTGCAACTGTCTATTATGGGGAAAAAAAACTAAACTAAAATATGATGTTGTAAAGAAAATTCCGCCAATCAGAGTCAATCTCAGCAAAAGAGCTCTGCAGGGAACATCCTTACTTATATATTTGTATATGCTTATTTGACAATAAACTTATTATCTCTACAGATATTATTCAACTACTTTAAATGAATAGTTTTATATTTCTCCACCATTTTTAATGTGCAATGCTTGTTTGTCTTTTGTCTATAAATGCCTTTTTTTTTGTTTTGCATTGTGGTTTGGTTCATGCCTTATAGCTCTTTAAATAAGACTTTTTAAAATGTATGGTAAAAAATATTTGTGGACCCAAAGGTGCTGAAAACGTGGGTATGAACTAATGCACTTTTAATAACTGCATTACCATGACTCTTTTACAAAAGAGAGAGAGAGAGAGAGAAAAATAGAGATTGATTACAGCTGTCAGATGAGAGAAAGATGTCAAATTTACAGTGACTCCCCCTGAAGCTCACAGCAGCGCAGACTTTAATAGAACACAGTAAAATGAAAAAAAAAATGTATACAGATTTTTTACAGACTGCAACAATAAAGATGTCCCAGACTGAACCGTTCTTTTCAGTTTCTTATTGCAGCTTTGAAATGTGAAGGCCCTGCACTCATCCAGAGCCTCAAACTGGACTGCATCATCTGTAACCTGCAGCATCTGATCAACACTGTAAACTAGGAAACCCTCTTTCAACAGTTCTCTGTAATGTAACCTTCCAGAACAATCTTTCATGTGAACGGCTTTAATTGTCTGAACTCAGTTGCTTTCCATCTGTCAGTTTCATTCAGTCCCCTGAGGCTTTTGGCAAATTCTGCTTCTGAGATTTTCATGTTTGTTGCTTAAAACAGCTGTGTGTCCTGCAGACATCCGTGTCTCTTTCGGCCCTCGCATCCATATTAGGATCCATAATACCCTAGGAAGGGGTTTATTGATTTGATGAAGGCCTTGGCAGGTTTGGCATCACGGATGATTCCACTAAATTGAACTGGCATGTGTCTTTCTTCATACCACAGACACTCTCTCTCCAATTTCATCATTTCCTCAACTGTAGCCTACACTGTAAAAAATGACCGTGAATTTAACGGTAAAAGACTGTAAAAATGCTACAGTAAAAACCTGTTAAATGGTTAACGGTAAATTCCCCTACTATATACGGTGAAAAACTGTATTGGACATTACATGTATTAGACATCAATTTTACGGTAGTATACCGTTTTTGGAAGTGAAAAAGACCGTAAAATT